CCTTCAAATGAGATCGATGAAGATCGATCTTGATGAAGAAGGGTCCGCTTCACATCATTCTACTATTCTGTGTTTCGCGATCGATTTGGAATGCTTTGTATTCGCAAAGGTTCATTAAAGGCACGGTTCACGATAAAAATGATTACTGAAATCTTCCCTTAGGAACAGTCGGTGGCCCCATGGGTGGTAGAAGGGACCCTCTCACTCCCACAATCTCGACGGTTAGGGCATAGTGGAAGCCCTATTGCTGCCGTAAGTAGCTTTCCCGCCTCTCGATTGATGTTACGTCAGACGAGTGTCGAGACGATACAGATTGCAAACTTTCGCTTTAGGACCCACACACAGTAAGCTGATCGCTGAGTAATAAGGCGATGATTTTCTCCTATTCTTTTGTTCTCTGTTGTTCTCTTTGTTGTTGCGATCCCTTGTTTAATTCTCTACCCCAAAAGGCTGAGAAAGTTGGGCTACTTTTCCTGTTACCAGGATCTTTTGTAAACTTTGCTTATGAGCGGATGAATTTTTGCCTACCGTAGTCAATTAGTCGCACCAGGATCCACACGCACGCTCTGACACACATTGTATAACTCGTCCAAACGCCCCATTCTTCCTCATTTTTCTGATCTCACTCTCGTTTAGTCCCCTTTTAACCCATTTTCGAAGCCTTTTTCACTTTGGAAACACCGATTCAGGTACCCTTACTTTTTTGTTAACAGTGCCTTTAACGGTAGCACTTTTGCAAAGATTACCGTGACAGCAGGGAGCAAACCACATCGTCTGCTTGAGTTTTGTGAATAGCACATTAATGACTCAATATACCTGAGTTTACACAAAAAATCTCAGGGAAAATCACAGGAATTGGAAACCCTCCAAGTACGAAGGCGAATCTATCCAATAACGTCTTCTTGGCTGGCACGTCAAGAAACTAAAAACCACCAGACGCCATTCTGATAGACTATCTCTATGACTGGCTTTGCATGGAGGATAGCTGCTTAATCTACAAGTATGGGGAGTTGGAGGCTGGGTACATAGGGCTGAGTTTACCAGCTTCAGTTTTTGTTATGTCATGCTCGCTCTATTGTAGAAACTAGGAAATAGTTATGCGCTCGTGTGGATGAAAGTTCGGCTATCTAGCGAAGGAATAGCTCGACTACGCCTCTTGACATTCACGTAGAAGGAAATCAGAGGCTGTGAGTTTGACGTTGAATGCACGATTCTGGCCCACTAGAACAGCACAGGTGCCACAATAACTCTAGAAGCCTTCACAGCCAAATCCGAGCATCAAAAACACGAAAGAAAGCATCAACGTAGGCGGTGACTCCTTGCATTATATCGCATTGGTTAAGTTATGATGGTGAGAACTGATGCACGCGACGCCACGATGCCATGACAAAAGAGCCATCGGACAGTATTATTTGCTCTATCATCCCCGAAGTTGAGCAGTCGTTCAATCTTGGCGAAATTAACGTTCTCACTTAGTTTTAGGTTTGTCGGTCGGCGTTGCAAATAGTTAAGAGTTGGTCTAATTCCACTGTGAGAGGTGATACTCCCTTATCTTTGAAACGTTCTCAAGTCTCCGAGGATGGCGAGTTCGCCGGAGCGTCAAGCACAGTAAGGCCCTTCACTAAAAACTTAATATCGGCACAGAAGGACTGATTACCTATGAAGCAAATCCTCAGTTTTCAAAAAAAAAACGAATATGTACTCGATTAGAGCTCCTTATAGGTTCTATCTTACTATCCTTATACATATATAACTCGCACAAACGTATACACAAAAGCACACACATATATACTATATAAGGCCTGTGTGTGTTTGTGTTTATATGCGTGTGTTAAAGTGTTAGTGTATGTCCGACGGGGAATTCATAACACCTGTTTCCGTGGACCTAGAGCGTTCAAATTTGGAAGGAATACAGGAGGCAGGATGTGAGCACTAATAATATAAGGTAGGACTTGACTCCGCTCACGAGTGGTAGAGTTTGCGTCTGATTTTGTGCTTGAAGGAAATTCATAACTCGTGTTTCCTAGGACCTGAAGAGCTCAGGTTTGGTAGAAGTACTGGTGGCAGGTTGGAAACACTAGTGGAATGTGGCAAGACGTGACCCCGCCCATGGGAGGGGTTAAAACTGGTAGTTTGGAAATGAGACCTCTAAGTTTGGTTGCGATCTATGCGACGTTTCACAGTGCTCATTGATGGTGGCAGGACATGACTCCGCAAACGGGGATGGGGTTTGCGCGGAAAATTGTGCTCAAAGGGAAAATCATAACTCCTGTTACCTAGAACCTAGAGAGGTTTGAATTACATTATACGAGGGATCATCATGTATAGAGCTTTGTGTGCTCTGAATTCGGAATAAGCTTTTAGGAATAAAGAAAATCTGTTATTACCAACCGCATTTCTATTATGGTTCTGGGAGTACTGCAAAACCTTTCGAATCGCTGCCTGCTCCGCTGGGCTTGCGACGTCCGCCTGAAAAATATCACGCCATCTATTCGACTTCCATTCATAAGCGCACTGGCTTTTAATGCAAATTCGCAAGGGCCGAAGTATGAGTCTCTATTACTTAACTCTAACAGGCTTTTGTTATCTAGCAGGCACGCATCGGTATAACCTGATTAGTAAGCAACTCAGGAAGCATAACGCTTCCAAATCAGTGGGAAGTAGGCAACTAAGGGGAATCGCAACTAGGGGGAATTGGGAAGCGTATTGAGGTGATTCAGCTGACTATATGACCCCTTTCCTCGTAAAGCTTGTCTCCCATCACTGCTTCGATGTCTTCAGTAAGAGGACAGAGAGATCGTAATCGAACCAGGCGAGATCTAACAACCCAAGTGAACCTTCAAATGAGATCGATGAAGATCGATCTTGAAGAAGAAGAGTCCGCTTCACATCATTCTACTATTCTGTGTTTCGCGATCGATTTGGAATGCTTTGTATTCGCAAAGGTTCATTAAAGGCACGGTTCACGATAAAAATGATTACTGAAATCTTCCCTTAGGAACAGTCGGTGGCCCCATGGGTGGTAGAAGGGACCCTCTTACTCCCACAATCTCGACGGTTAGGGCATAGTGGAAGCCCTATTGCTGCCGTAA